ATGGCCGGTTTAAAGTGCCCTGCTGCAGCGGACCATTGCTTCAATCAAAGTCACCCAGGAACTCCTCATTAACTAAGGTACATTATTAATGCAGTCATTAATACAGTACCCCCCAGTCTGTTTACTAGTAACAATCCATCAGTTCTTCAATCAAAGTAACTCATTAACTAACCATGAACGAATCATTCATTAATACAGTACCCCCCAGTCTGTTTACCAGTAACTAACCATCAGTTCTTCAATCACAGTCACTCAGGAACTCCTCATTAACTAACCATTAACGAATCATTCATTAATACAGTAACCCCCCAGTCTGTTTACCAGTAACCAGAGGTGGGGACTCGAGTCACATGACTTGACTCGAGTGAGACTCGAGTCGCATATTTTTTGACTTGAGACTTGCTTGACTAACATTGATAAAAGACTTGACTTGACTTTGACTTGGTATTCATGACTTGAGACTTGACTTAAGCTTGAGACAGATGACTTGAAAGGACTTGTCTGTTTAAAATTAAATATTTGCGTTTGTTTTTGTAGTGAGATATTACGTTTAGTTTTTTTCGAAAAAACGTGATTGGGTGATTATAGCGCCATGTGCGCAAACCTGGCAACCCACTAGACGGCAGGAGCGTCAGTTAACATGGCAGCGGCTAGCGTTACTCCAAAAATAGTGAAGTTTGGATTCAAGGATTATGTTGTCAATGACGCTAATAAGAAGAGAACAGCGGTATGCAGGGTCTGCAGCATAAAGATCAGTGACACGACCACCAAAACATCTAACTTCATTCGTCACTACAAAAAAACCCACAGAGAAAGGTGCGTGAATGTGTTGTGTTAGCTAGAAAGCTAACGTTAAGTTTAAGCTACGTTAGACTTGGTTAAAATGGATTAAGCAAAGAGAAGACAAAACGGTAAATGAACACTAGAACCGCCAAGGGATTCATTTGTACTAACCCTGATACTGATGGGCTGTCAGGAGAGAGAGAGAGAGAGAGAGAGAGAGAGAGAGAGAGAGAGAGGAGAGAGAGAGAGAGAGAGGAGAGAGAGAGAGAGAGAGAGAGAGAGAGAGAGAGAGAGAGAGAGAGAGAGAGAGAGAGAGAGAGAGAGAGAGAGAGAGAGAGAGGAAAAGAGATGCCTCGTTTATTTCCCCTGTGTTATTATCAGAAGTTACTGTACATTTTTGAATAATGTAGTTCATCTACTTTTAGTAGTTTGTTTAAATGTTTTAATTATGTTGTTTTTGTTTGTAGAAGTGCATCATTCCTTGATTTATTGTAAAATGAATCTGAACTTTTTGATCTGTTATGATGATAAACTGAAGCAATTTCTAAATTAACCCAATTAACTGAGTTTTAAATCGTCCTACTTAGTTTATAAGGAAATTATGAAGAGGAACAAATTAAATGATTTGAAAATGATATCTATGTAGGTGCTGATGCTGTTGGCGGTTCTAGTGTTAACAGAAATTTTAATTAAATATGTGTAATGGCAAATGCCATATATGATTTTCTTACCTGGAATTCTGCCTTTTTGAACAGACTTTTTGATTGAGTCCTAGCTATATTGTCTGCAGTTCTAGGGTTAATATTAATCTAATATGATTTTCATCGGTCTAAATTAGATTTCAAATGATTAACTGTGTATGTAATGAAGATCATAGTGTGGGTTAAATCCATTTTCATAACCACTGTCTTTTAACTGATTTAAATGCGGAAACTGGGCTTATTCATCAGAATTTCGTATGACTTGACTTGACTTGACCTGAGCAATGACTTGACTTGACTTGCTTGACTCTCACCACAGTGACTTGGGACTTGCTTGATACTTGTAGGTCAAGACTTGAGACTTGCTCATGACTTGCACATGTAGGACTTACTCCCACCTCTGCCAGTATCTAACCATCAGTTCTTCAATCGCAGTCACTCAGGAACTCCTCATTGACTAACCATTAAGCCTTCCCCCCGGTACCGGGCGGATAAACGCGTCATTTGCAGGAAACAACGTCTAAGGAATCTTAATATTGAATAAAACTATGAATGTGTTATATCCATGTAACGGGAAGAAACTCAGCTAACTGATCTTTTTAATTTTTTTTTTCAAAAAAAACCCACAATGCTAGCACTCAGCCTCTGAATTAGCCTCGATCGAAAAAACGGGACCGACAAAGGCACATAAACTCACTCAGAACTCCCTTATTACTTATCCTAGATGCACAACCAAACACTATTTTTTGGTGTCCTGGAGACACTGAATCTAACGGTGCCCACCTCAACACTCAGTGATAAACATTCGCGACGCTATCAACGAAAGCGTACATCATCACATGTGGAGCCAAGAAGCTAAACATATAAATATGGCTTACCTTGGTCAAAAGTGGTCTTCAATGGCATTAAAACGATAAAAAAACGATGCTGCAGTTAATCCATAGGTTCATCCTATGTGTCTGTGCCTTCTTTGAAATTATTTCTGATAATCCATAAGCAATACAACTGCGTTTTAGTTTCCAAACTCCAGAAGGAGACATTCCTCCAGTTTAGTTTCGCTTTCCACACGCGAAGCGGCAACATTTTTTCTTTACAATGTGTGTCTATGTGAGTATCCTCCTTCAATTCTATTGGCTCTAACGGTCACAAGGGTATGTCAACCAACCAGATCGAGCAAGGGGGGCCAGAGATAGGTCAAATCCACCCAAATGACCCCAGATGGCCCAGTTTTTGGCTAAATCTCTCTAAAAAGGTCAAATTTCACTTGTTTTGCATCAATCTTGATACAGGGTACTTATTATATGTTGTACTTTGGATTCCTAAAGCTTTTAGTCTACTAACCCATCATCCAAGGGTAGTTTTCACTATCTGTAAAAAATAATTTTTGGACGGACACTATAATTTACAGTTTTTTACTATGTAAAATCTGAATTTTCTTTAAAATAAAAAACATTTATATTGATTCTGACACTTCTACATCCAACTCACAGGTTTATCATTACTTTGAGAAAAGATTATTAATTTAACCCTTTTAGAAGGGAAGATATGGTCATTTGTTCTGGGAATGTCATTTTCGAGCCTGAGACCTGAAAAACAGGCTCAGAGTGGAACAGGTTATCTAGTCGTTCCTTATTCACTACTCAGTAACTAAGCACATTTTGTGTACCTTATTGTAATTTACTGGGCCAAAACGGCAAATATGTCTTACCTTTGCTGTTTTCTGATCAAAAGTTGTGATCAATGGCATTAAAATGCATATAAACACTGCTGAAGGTTAATCAAAAGTCTCTGTGTCACTTTGAAATGATTACTGATAATCCATCGTAATATTTATGGCAATAAGCCTAGTTTTCAGTTTTCAGTTTTCAGAGCGTAACGTAGCTTTCGGTTTGGGAAAACTGCGTGCGCATCACTCTCACTCCTCAATGGTAACGTGTAGGTGGATTTAGGAACTTCCCCTCGATTCTATTGGCTCTAACGGTTCAAAAGAGGTGTCAATCACCAAAATCGACCAATGGGTTCCAGAGATATGGCAAATACATCCAAATGACCCCAGAGGTGGGTTTTTTTTTCTAAACCTCTCTAAAAAGGTCAAATGTCACTTGTTTTGCATCAATCTTGATACAGGGTACTTATCATATGTTATAGTTTGGATTCCTAAAGCTTTTAGTCTACTATCCCATCATTCAAGGTTGGTTTTCACTATAAATAATGGTTTTGTTTGGACGGAAACTATAATTTAAATTTCTTTTTGATTGATTCTGACTTTTCTACATCCAACTCACAGGTATATCATTGCTTTGAGAAAAAAGATTATTAATTTACCTCTTTTAGAAGTGAAGATATAGTCATTTGTTCTGGGAATGTCATTTTCGAGCCTGAGACCTGAAAAACAGGCTTGGGGCTTTTAAAAGCATATGTCTCTATCAAATTCAGTCTGATGGACCCCTAAACTCATTTGAAGTTATATACATGGTGGGAAAGAGTACATTCTTAGCTTTCCAATATTAACCCTACTGGTTTTGTTCTCCAAATAGTCAGCAAAATATTTCACAATAAATGATGACTGTTATCAACAAACCTTTCTGAGAAAAAGGTCTTCAAAGATGGCTGATAATTCATTGTAATATGGGGCTTAATGCTTTATACTGTACACCTTCACCTAGGACCACCACTAGATTAGCTATGAACCCTAAATCTTTATTTGTTTATAATAAAAATGATGTTAGCAGACTGTCCCTCTCCCAACGGGATGGCCACCTATTGTATGAATTAGGCTAATTTGTTTTTAATGTAGTAGCATTGAGGAAAATAATGTTTCTTACTTTGATGAGGAAATGTCGGGCGTAAGAAATTTGGTGAATGTGTGTATTTCTGTGATGTAAGTATTTTCCGAGGCAACAAGCAAAATAAACACCACCTGTTGTAATGCCTTTAAGTTGCTCCATTTGCCGCTCGTCATCGTACCTTTACAGCCGTTAACACCAAATGTATAATCCGAATTTAACGATTATATTTGAATATTCTAAAAGCAATGGCTTTTAAAGATGACCAAAACACACGTTTTTTTTACATAAATCCGTCGATGCGACCTCTGCCTGATTGTGATAGAGCGGGTTACATTTGCCTTCTTTCAGAAAAATTAGAAGCTTGCAAAAAAAACACAATGTTGCTGTACTGGAACATATAATTAGCTACAATATCTCACTAAGACAAACAAAAATGGGAACAATGTTCTCACTCTGAATATTAAGTGTAGAGATGGAGCCACAGCTATTTAATTGAAATAATGAACTTCAAGTGACATTCCCTATTTGTTTTGTGATGCTAATTTCATGGACAATTAACTTGAAGGCTGAAGATTTGTTGATTGTTTTTTTTGGCTACAATCACTCAAAAAAGCACAATACTAAACAGTTTCATTGCTAGCATAAATCCTATGATTAATCAAATCTAACCTCGACATCTTAGTTTCAGAGCAACCATGCCTAAAATGACTATATTTAAGATCTTTACCTCTCCAACCATGCCGTTCCACTCCCCATCTATGTTCTTCCCATGCCTCCCATTGGTCACCAGGTAGAGGTCATAGGTGAAACCCACTATTTTAGCCAGTCGCTTGAGGACGTCGATGCAGAACCCTTTGCAGCAGTGCTTCATGGGCCCGGCGCCATCCACCACCAAGCTGAGGAGATAATTGGAGAAAAGACAGATAAGTGAGATAGTGAACTTGCATTTTTTTAAGACATAGAGATATTTTATCAGGGGCGCTTTGACCTAGATGGGCTGATTGGCTGTTGCAGAAATTGACAAAGAAGGAGATGTGCCACTTCAGAGGCAGAGGGAGAACAGGAGAGTGAGGAAGGTATGAATTATTGGCTGAAGACTGTGAGTGGTTTGATTCTGACAGTTTGGGCTTTCGTGTTTGGAGAGGCAAGGCTTGACAGGTCAGAAAGCTCACAAGCAACAGGGAAAATAAACAAATTAAACTGCATTTTTGTTCTTGGAAGCCATATTCAATAAAAACATTTTTTTACAATGGCCTTTGAAAGCCTCTTTCCTGTGGGACTTGATGTAATGAACCCTTCACCCTAAACGCATCACAAGCAGTTCACATATACTTGAATCCGAGTGCATTTAGATAACTATCAGTCAAGTGGCTGCTGTGCCCTCCATCAAAGGGCCAACTCCCAATGGACCCCCAGACACTCATGGCAGCTATGGCCCTGTTACCAAGCAACACAACTTGCGCAATTGTTTTTGTATCATAAATACAAACCACGCCGAACATTTCACTCCTCTGTATTTTTACTGCAAATAAAGTTGTGTAATTTAAAAGTTATTTCATTATGCAAATACATTAAATTATTGATATGATATTTTCTTAGATAGTGTTCACCACAAAAATGTATGAAAGCAAGAAACTAACTTGTGATCACGTTTAGGTAAATCCTAATTTCCCATTGAATAAACAATTCAATAACACCCAATAACATTGGGTTTTTGTCTTCAGTGGGAAAGTTAGTTAGTGAAATACTTGATTCTGATTGGTCAATTTGGATATTTCGGAGGTTATTAATACTCACTAACAAGACGCTGCTAAGGATAACATGACCGTTGCTAAGGAGGATATACAGAAAGAAGTCTGGTCGATTTAATGTCGGCTATGGACCACAAAACCACTCAAAATGAGAAAAACTGATACTGAACTGATCTGACGCACTGATATTCTGTACACACTGTGAAGTCCACTGAGACAAATGTAACATTTGTGATATTGGGCTATATAAATAAACATTGATTGATTGATTGAAAAACACCATGGAATACTTTTTGAATATTCACTTTCAGGAAAATTTGGATTCATGATGGCTAAACTGTCTCCATTAATGAAAAGAAAACCAGTGGAAGAGAAGGAAAGAGGTTAAAAGACAGACAGGAAGTAAACACTGAAGGGAACACAGTATGAGTTCTGGCATTGCTTAACCTGTTAAGCACCAAGCCTGTTTTTCATGTTTCAGGCTCGAAAATGACATGCCCAAAACAAATGACTACACCTTAACTTCTAAAAGGGTTATATGAATAATTTATTTTTATCAAAGCAAGGTTACATCTGTGAGTTGGATGTAGAAGTGTCAGAATCAATATAGATGTTTTTTATTTTAAAGAAAATTCAGATTTTACATAGTAAAAAACTGTAAATTATAGTGTCCGTCCAAAAAATCTTTTTTACAGATAGTGAAAACTACCCTTGGATGATGGGTTAGTAGACTAACAGCTTTAGGAATCCAAAGTACAACATATAATAAGTACCCTGTATCAAGATTGATGCAAAACAAGTGACATTTGACCTTTTTAGAGAGGTTTAGCCAAAACCACCCCACCTCTGAGGTGATTTGGGTGAAAATGTTTTTTTTTTCCATATCTCTGGCCTCCCTTGCTCGATGTTGATGGTTGACACCTCTTTATGACCGTTAGAGCCAATAGAATCGAAGGGGGAGGCCCACACACACACTCGTTGTGAAGAGAAAAGGTGGGGGCTGCGCGCATGTAATTTTGCATCAGAGTGAATTTTGCTCTGACATTTGGAAACGAAAAAGCAGTTTTATTGCTTATGGATTATCAGAAATAATTTCAAAGAGTACACAGACACATAGGATTAACCCATGGATTAACTGCAGCATCATTTTTCTATCGTTTTAATGCCATTGAAGACCAGTTTTGACCAAGGTAAGCCATGTTAGCGTTTCTAGCTACCTAGCTCCACATGTTATGATGTACGCTTTCGTTTATAGCGTCGCAAATGTTTATCACTGAGTGTTGAGGTGGGCACCCCCAGATTCTGTGTCTCCAGGGGACCCAAAACGAGTGGTTTGCTGTGCATCTAGGATAAGTAATAAGGGAGTTATTGTGAGTTTAGGTGCAGAGATAGGTTACATTTTTTTCGCTCGTGGCTAATTCAGAGGCTGAGTGTTAGCATTGTGGGGTTTTTTTGGAAAAAAAAATTTAAAAGATCAGTTAGCTGAGTTTCTTCCCGTTACATGGATATAAAACATTCATAGTTTATTAAATATTAAGATTCCTTAGACGTTGTTTCCTGCAAATGACGCGTTTATCCGCCCGGTACCGGGCGGATGGTGCGTAACATGTTAAAGACGTGTTAATAGGCGCTTTCACACCGGAGTACTTTTTCCGTACTTTTTCCGTACTTTTCCCAGATATAATTCCGATAGTTCCTGGGATGTTGCGTTCACACCAAAAAGATCTTTTTTTTCTGGAACCTTTTCACCCCTTTTTAGTCCCTGCTAGAGAGCAGGGACTTTCTGGGGAGAAAAAGGTTCCAATTTCTGATTGGCTGGGCGAATTGCAAACCACGCCCCGTAAAACTCTGAAAAGTTTTTGTGAAGCCGCCATTTTATTTCCTCGCATTAGCATTATTAGCATTAGCATTAGCCCAGCGCACCAACGGAGAGAGACTAACTTATGGCAACAAAAAATAAAACGTGGGATTGGTGGAGTGATGAGGAGGTGTCGGCGCCTCTGGCGATTTACCCGGGGCTTCGGGTGGCGATTTACTGCCACCCAAAGTCCCAGACTCCGGGGGGCTCCGGGACTTCGGGTGGCAGTATACGCCGTGAAGTTGTTTGCGGCCTGCAAGTAAACCCAAAGCAGAAGAAGAAGAAGTGACGTCAGCGGCTTCATTTGCGTAATCCTTCCTCAGGGACTTATTCCGGTGTGAACGCGATTTACTAGATAGTTCCGGGGAAATAAAAGTTCCGGGGAAAAGTTCCGGGAACTATTCCTGGGAAAAGTACTTGGTGTGAAAGTGCCTATTGTTATCCCTTGTATTATCCCTCACATATTCACCAGATAGTTGCTAACTCTGTCTAATGTGTGATACTGGGCTGGTAGCATAGAGTATGTTTACCAGAGATTCATCATCCAAAAGGATTAGCTGAAAAATGCTAAAACAAATGCTAAAACAAATACTGCTTACATTATGTAAGTAAATTCTCTGTAGGAAAAAACCCGCCTGGAGTTTTATTTCTAATCAATGCTGGTCATGATAATGTCCTTTGATAGAGTTGCAGGGTTGGATTTTTTTTTTTAATGGCTTGACAGCCCTTATTCTGAATAAAATGCAGTTACATTTTCATAACTCGATTATGTCCCTGTAAGTCATATGCATGTTTCATTTGATGCATTGAACAAATACATCGATATGATAGGAGAAAATAAAAGAATAAAACATTTGAGATATGCAGCAGATCAGAGAAAAAAGTAAGCTACACATTACATGTAATAGTACCTCAGTTAATATATATATATATAATATATATAAGAAAAAAGTAGGTGAGGTAGAAATGTTTCAAGAAAGAAAACTGTGTCAAAGTAGGTTGATTAACAAGAGAGCAAACTTCATTTCTAGTCAATAAGACTGATGGAGGATGAACTTGTTATCTTCCTATTGGCCAGGCTATGTGCTGGCAGGAAGAAAGCTTATCTGGGATAGACCAGGAGCCCAGAGCGGGCACACACACAGAAACACACCATACACACACATATACATGCTCACTCGCTCTATGTTTATCTTATCCCTTTGATTTACTTTTGTTGCAAATTACCTTATACACATACGAAACAAGAGGAACACTGATTGTGAAGTAGTCTGAATATAACTGATACTTTAAATGTATATATGCCACATGATATAAGAACATAAAATAAGTAATCAGCATCATATTGTTGGAACTCATCAGTGTCATGCGTTGGAAGGGATACAGGAGGGATCTCTTGTTCCATGAGTCTAATTATCTCGATTGATTAAAAGACAAGTAACCTTACTTTGCTGTGGTTTATATTACTGTTTTTTAATGAAGAGTTTTGCCAATACTGGGCTCTTAATTGCATGCTTTACGGCGGTGTACCATATGACTTTTAACGTGTCAGTAACCGCTGTGATGAAATTTGCTTTCCTCCCTGGGATAATTACGTTTTTGATGTTTGAATCTATTGATCCTAAAAACCTCTTACTTTAAGCCTATTACTCGCTGCTCACCAGCAGTACCTGGAGATGGTAAAGATTGACAGTCCTGTTCATGGACGCTTGGCGAGACAGTTCAATTACACAAGGGATCAGAGCCGGAACCTTTCTGTTTCAGTTTGCTCTCTATCCGGGCTCTTTGTGAAACTTATTTGTGACTTTCTAGTAAGGTTTATAGGCTGATAAGGGTTTAAAAGGAGAAATCCTCAAGAGTCGAAAATATGTCATCTATATTATTATTCTTTTCACTGCCCATGGCTATAATAAACTGTGGTTCATCCTGACCTGCCACTTTCTTTTGTAACTAACTCCATTCACAGTCTTTGCAATGTTATTTATTTCAAATGTTTTGCTTTTATTTAATACTGAATCATTTGAAAGCTTTCATCCACTCTCAAGTTAATTTGTTGTGGTCATTTTGATTTGATCTGTATAATGGATAATGGCTGAAAACTATTGATGAAAGCACTGTATTTATAGCATCAGGGTAGCTGTGCTAACGTAGAAGTTTGAAAAAAATGTTTTCAGAAATCTTTCTTTGACCATTTGGATTTGGTATGCACTTCAAAGAAAATGTTATGCCCTAGTAGAAATGATGGAGACAATCTGAACTAAAATCAATTCTTAAAGGGCCCATGTCATGCTTTTCCGGTTATTACCTGTCCCCTTGTGTGTAATGAAGGTTTTTCTGCATGTAAACGGTCTGCAGAGTCAAAAACCCTCAAAGTACACCCTGTAGCGAGTAAATCTCTAACACAGAAAAGACCTCCCCAAAACGCCTCGTTGGAGATTTCTCATTTTCCAATGTTTTCTTCCTGGGTATCGTGACGTGCCCTGACCCAAATCAACAACAAATTGACCAATCCACGCAGCACCTCACACACCAGGATCCCTTGGCGTCACTATCTCGTCTACTACAGGGAGTCCCATTGACTGGCATAGAGCTCCCTGAACGCTGGTAATAGACGAGTTGGGATTGCGGAGAAATTCTCTCTGCAGACCCATTCTCACAGCGTTTATCAACCTTTTTCTTACTCAATATCAAGCCACACTTATTGTTTTTACTTCGGCTGTGAGTGTTTGTGTGTGCTCAGGATGAGTTTCGCTGTGTCTCGCTGTATCGCCGACCCGGAAAACCACACCGCCAGCGAGTTCACACTGGAGCAGCGAGCCTCGCAACGTCCCGACCAATCAGAGCACACTGGGCTCACAGGGAGGGGGGGGCAGGAGCTCCAACAAGCCGTTTAGGACAGAGAGTGAAATTCAGTGAATACACATACTATACAGAGATGCTGTATGAGAAACCAATGTGATTTTGGAAAATTGCACAATTTAAATCTATTCTAGTATACTTCAACAATGGAATTATGATCAGTAGAAATGGCCATGACATGGGACCTTTAAAACTACCATATTACACTTGAGTGAGGGTATGTTTCTGCATTATATTATTATATTATATACAGGTATCTGCTTTATACTTACAAATGATTTAGTTATTTTATTTGTAAAACGTTTAGCTTATTAACTTAATTCAAATGTACAGAACAACCATTGAGAACTTAATCTTGCAGACTTTTGTTAGAAATTAAAATCAATGTATAATAGCATAATTCAGTCTAAAACATATCGTCAGTTTAAAAGCTGTTTTATTGTGGAAAAACCCAGAAGTTCTCATGAAATCTCAATGCCAAGCTTTTATTCTGAAAATCCTTCATATCCGGACAATATGTAGAATGTAGCTAACAATGTGTTTTCTGAATGTAAAGTGAAAATGACATGGAGTGTACCACACCAAAACCTACGGACTTTAACACTACATCTATAGACGTCGAGATATTATTACTGCTGAATATTAAATGAAGGTACAGTTGATGGTAGAGTGTTTACACATACGTGAGAAGCTATGACGTCAGAGGGAGTTACCGTAAATGAGAACTGTGTCCTAGAGGTGTTTCTAGGACTTCTAAACCAACTATTACAGCTGTTTATAAGGTATTAAATAGAAAGTCATGACAGAGATAAGGAGGAGAAAAGGCTTAAGGAAGTAGGCAGGGAATACAGAATGTCGAAATCATCTGTTCTCTCGCGATATCGAACATTGAAGATGAGAAGGGGGGTCCCACTATCTGCACAGCGGGAGAGAACGAGAAGAGGATAAAGGAGATGTGAGAGGACAACCCGCTCTCTTTTTCTACGCTGCAGCTCCCTGGAGACATCACCGGCTTTGTCTCTTCCTTACCCTTTGTTTGTTTCACTACCACGCTGCTTAAATTAAAGTAACCAATTTGAACCCTTTCAGAGACTCATTTGTCTCTTCATCTTTAAACTTCTTCCTGGACGCGAGAGAATCAGCACACATCAATACTTTGCATACAATGAAAAGCAAGGGCATTGTACTGTTCTGCAAAACCACTCATATGTTAAATGTCTATGTTTCATAAAAATGACATGCACACAACAATTCAGCAGTTACATACTGTAGCTTTCTATTCAATAGGATATGTTTCACTCTTAACTTGATAGCATCACGGTGTATTTAAATGCTGTGTTTCGTTACCTGGTATTGACAGGCATTCGACAGGGTACAGAGTCTCGGATGCAGGAGCTGGTGCCAGGGTCAGCCGGCTCCACGATGACAAATGGCCTCTCCTCCAGGGTAACCACTCGGAGGTGCTGGGAGTCGTCCAGAGGCTTCAGGAAGGAGCCGTAACGAGACCAGGGATGGTAACGCAGACGCAGGTGCCCATTTTCCCACCAGCCAACCTACAGTAGTTAGAAATAAACACACAAACACAGATGCTCAGGGCTTTGGAAAACCGTGGCTTGAGAACAGACTGCTTTGATACATTTCCCGTCTGATCAGCTTTGTGTTTAGCACACATTTGCTAATTTGCAGGTGACAATATGTCACTGTCACTAGGTTATAATTGGGCTCAGTGTGGTTAAAGATGTATAACCTTTGCTTCAACTCAATTTCAAGAAAAACTTTATTATTTATTTATTAGTTAATTATTTCTTAAGACCTGCAACATGATTAATTGATTTTCACAGAAATGCCCTTAAAAATAATAATCCTTTGTATCTAACATTTAAACCCAACCTGGATTTATGCAAAAAAGCACCAGCTTGGTTAGCGCTTTTGCTAGGCCATAAAAGTGCAAGTCCACTATCTTCTTTCTGAGCTCAAGACTGATTTCCTTTGACTTTGGCATGGTGAGTAGGAGTAGTAGTATAATCCCTCTCAATAAGGTATTCAAGTGCCTGTTTCTTGGAGTCCTTTTATGCTGATTGAATGCTCAGGTGTGGCTTGAAAGCTGATTGGTTGATTAGGTGTGGTTTGAAAGCTGATCGATTGATTAGGTGTGTTTTGAAAGCAAAAATTCACATGGGGGCTAATATTTTTGACCAACCCATTTTTCACTATATTTGATATAAAGCAAGCCTAAAAACTTATTTTATGTTCCAAAATGTACCAAAAGCTACTAAATAGCACTGGTGAATGTTTGATTATATCAAGTTTTATCAATGCTTGAAACATTGGGAAGAATTTTAGGAAAATGTTCCATAACTCCTGGGGGGCTAATCATTTAGGCCTCAACTACCTGGAGGGCCAAACAACGTGCACCGCCCTTTATATGAATAGGTTTCTATCTGTGTGCCAGTCTGAACGTTGCCCTACAACCAAAGCATTCATCAAACCTGGGGCATACACAGGCCAATGGGTCTTAATTGTATTCAGTCTCATGCGTTTCTACGGTAAATGCGTGCATAGATTAACTTTAAAACCCACAAGCACTTTCTGAATGGGCACTGGACTTATATAAATGTATAACTAAATGTAAGTTCATTCTGTAGCCTTGCTTTTATTTCTTTGTTTGGGATATACTGTATATATTCAGTCTATCTATTCTATCTATCTATCTATCTATCTGTCTATCTATCTATCTATCTATCTATCTTTTCACTAAGCTTCAAGGGACCATTGACAAACCATGACAGGGACCTGACAACTGTGATCACAACTTGGTAAAGTGTGTTATGGGAGATCCCTCAGCCTATCCATCTATTTACCTCCTTGAAGCAACAAGTCCTCCAACTCATACGACCAAATAGGTCGATTGTTCAAGCCCTTATTACGACCAAATAGGTCGATTGTTCAAGCGCTTATTACAACCTATAATCACGTTTTAAAGTTTTCAACCTCTAGTGCTCCTGTTGACTGCAAACGCTCCGGTGGGTCGTATATTCACAAATAACACTCTCTGGAAAATCCTAAATTTTAGGATAGTTTGGCCATTAAAATGCTTTTTGATAACATTTCTAGCGAAAAGTGTATATTGTACTTTTAGAGCAGCGTCCATGTAAAGTTAGCGTCAACCCTCACGGGGTGAAAACATTATTTCCGGTCTCGAAGTTTTCATAATAAAACCGTATTCCCCTCACTGTCAAATTATTTTAAAGCTAAATCTGCAGTACTCATCCACTAAAAAACATCAGTGTATCCTTGTTAATTACATGACATTAATTGGTTTAAATTGTGTACAATGCTTTTGTGTTTTTCCCATAGGTTTTTCCATTTAGACTCTGAGAGACACGTTTCTTTTTTCAGAGGTTTTGATAGGCTAAAACATCAAACTACCCATAATCCTAGCCGCAATGCACGTTGGGATATGGTGTTTATGCGATGTGAAATCCGAAAACATAAAAAAAAAAAAATAATAATACTTTATTCCGAGTGTGCTTGCTTTTTTCTTTGAAAGTCATCACATAACGGCATTGTAATACACGGTTCGGCTGCATTACATATTACACATCTGCCTGTCTGCCTGCCTGCCTATCTGTTTTAATTTCACAATAAAGTTAATAGTAATATTATGTTTGATATTATTATGTTTTATTAACTAGACCACTGGGTCATGTTTGGTGTTACAAATATCAAAACAATATATGTGTGGATAACAAAATAAACTAAACTGGAAATTATACTGGAAAGTACAATTTATTGTGTTAACACTGTAAACTTGAACGTTTTTTAACCCGCACCGCCTAGTGGTTAAAGCACGTTATTTATTATATATATATATATATTCATTTTTGTTGAATATGTTATATTTGATGAAAAAATTAAAATATTAAGAGTAGCCTAAATATACAAAATAGGGGGAAAGTAGAAGGTCAATGATAGAAATATAGAATAGAAAATATCAAGAAGATACTGTAGTGATCTCTACAATAAAACAGCTAGTGGAGGACGTCCAAAGATATTAATAGGAGGATCTGCAAAACAGACACACTAATAAGGCTTTATTTAAACATTAAAGAATACTTTAAGTTAAGGTCTTCTTTTGAATAAGAAAAAAACTTTGGGGGTATCCACAGATAAATATTAAGTCTGACAAAGTACTTAACGTCTAATATATTGCATAGTTTATTTTGGCACTTGACAATCACCTTCCCTGAATTTTACTCAGGTGTAACTAAAGTCTGATTTAACTCAAGTTTGTTTTATTCCTCTTTTCCTGCACAGCTGTGGGTCATTGGGTTGTTGAATGCAGCAGTGCAGTGTGTCTTTGCATTGGTTGTGTTGCCTAATGACAGTCTGTTCATGTTAACTAAGCTCAGTTTATTTCGGAGCTGTAATTGAGACCAAAGAAACAGTTTACAATGTCACAGTGAAACTATATGTGTAAACAAATCTGTTTGCATCAACCAAGAATGTTACTGGATGGATTTGCAGGAATAACACAGCAAATCTGGCCTTTTTTATTTGGTCCTTTTAAAGCTGTGCTGCCATATATTTAGATGGCATTTGCATACACACAATCTTTCATTGGATTTCCCTGATGGTGCCAGACATGGTGGCTGGGATTTGTGAAAAAACAAGATGCAAAGCCTCTTCAAACACAAACATACACAGGTTTTGTTGCTTGTAAGGACATTGTTTGTGAGTTCCCGCAATGTCACTGTGTAAACAGACATGTCTTCACAAAAGGACATACTTGTGTGGTCTCTTAATGTCTAAAAAAAACTTCCCTAGAATCCAAACAGTACCGTGAAATTAACCAGATCCTTATTAGAACCTCTTTAAACCGAGTCTTGAACTTTGGTTGTAGGTAGGGATGCTCCGATTGATCGGCCGCCGATCGATATCGGCCGATATTCACTCTCTGCCGATCGATCGGTGCTCTCAATAAATGCCGATCGGGAGAGCCGATCACATGACGTAAAATACATGACACTTTTCTCTGTGTGCGGCAAAACAAGCTCGCCAAAATGGCTTCACCAGTCTGGCAGTATTTGAAGGTGTCCGAAAAAGACAGTAAAATAGCGGTATGCAACGTGTATGAAGCAGAAATCCTGCAGCTCCACCTGCTGTGACGGACCGGTGAGCGGAGCAAAACACACACTAACGGCCCGTCCACACAGCAGCGTTAAAAAAATCTTCCAACGCTTCTGCCCATTCACTTTGAATGGGTTGACGTCACTTTGCCTCACTTTTCGCCGAACTGCATTGTGGGAAGCAAAGCGGAGATTTCCAGGCATCTCAGGCTTCAAAAGTTGAGCAATGTTCAACTTTTGAAGCCTCGGCAGAAGCGTCAGCCAATCAAATCCCGTTTATGCAAATCTGCCAGTACAAGCGCTAGCCAATCAAAACCGTGTATGCTGGGAGAGACATACCGCAGGTCATTTCCTCATATTCCAAAAAATGGAGGAGAAATTAATTATAGCGGTCGGGAATCACCCGGTGCTTTATGACCAGTCCCTATTTACCTACCGGGATACAAACCGGAGGAGCCAGGCATGGAGGGAGGTGGCAGAGACAGTGGTAGGTTTTCGCCTGTTTGGGGAGTTTATATCCAGTTTACTTCGGGCTTTTTTGCTTTGTATGTCGGGGGCGGGAGATTCATGTGATTGGTTGTTGGTCGCGTTGCTCGCAAAAAATCCGCAAGCTTCAGATACGCCCACCTCCAAGATTTTTTTAACGCTGCTGTGTGGACGCTCCGTAAGAGTTAGACCTAACACACTTAGCTATTTTATCTACCTCTGGAACAAGCTAAACTAGTTATAAATATATTTATTCTTCACTGTCGGGTCACTCATTACTGGATCAGTGAGCTGCATGAGACGGATAGGGACCAGCTGTCAGGAGAGGGAGGGAGGGAGAGAGGGAGAGAGGGAGAGAGAGAGGGAGAGAGGAAAAGAGAGCGCTTCCGCTCATTTCTCCCGTGTTATTATCCAAAGTTAATGTAAACTTGAATAATGTACTTCATTTGAATGTAATAATTATGTTGGTTGTTGTTTGTGGAAGCGCCAGTGAATGAGCCCCATTAACTGAGCCCCATTAACTGAGTTTTAAACATCACTTTAAATGGAAGATCCCCATAGCCCCCACCCACTCGATCGGATCGGCGATCGGTACCGGCCGATACTGATTCCGGCGATCGGTGATTGGCGATCGGCCCCAAAATTGGCGATTGGAGCATCCCTAGTTTTAGGGATCCTGCTTGTTGATCCTATGTGACAAATACAAGTAAACAAGAGAATCCACAAATAATACTCTACTCTATACAACTAGACATGCATACACATAGAGACACATACAACCAGTCACAAGATTTCAAAGAACATTTGCAGCCAGGCACATGAAGAGGTGCATCAACACTTTCAATAACACAAGGACCACAGACACAGAGAAGAGAGTGATTTCAATAGCACATTTGCAGCACCCGGCCCTTTGGACCTTTTAATAACTTTCCATTATT